GTCATTGCCTAGTCCTGCACACATGGTCGTCAACGAGATGCTGCACTCTGCTCTAGGCGTCCATATCAAAGCCATGTTGCGTCTGGGGGCATCTGCCGGAAGCTTTCATACCCTAGACTTCCAAGACCATCAAAAAACAGGTTGACCTGGTTTCTGTAGTGTAAAGTCCCTAGTTGGTTCGGTAAAGCCGGTAAAGCCTATTAATTTAATGGTGGTTGGAAGTCTAGGGTATATAGATTGCGTGATTACAGTTCTTGCCTCAGAACTTCCAGGTCTGCCTGTCACTGCATGTAACTTCTAGCTTCACTTTCCGTGAATGATCATGGAACCCCAAACCCATGGGTCCTGGGTTGCAGGAGAGTCAACCATTTTAAGGACATGCACCAAAAAAGGCCCTACCAATGCTTTCCAAAGATGAAGTTCACCTCAGAACTTCCAGATCTGTGCCCTGCATGACCATGAACCTCAACCAATGTGGCTGGCAAACACAACATGAAGTCACCAACCCGGAGATGACATAAGCCTACATAGGCCTGTGGATGTGTCCTCGATTCCGAACAAACCCGGCGGATTCGGAAAAGGTCACATCCTCTTCAAGTGGCTCGAAATCAGTTCGACGGTGAGACGGGAAGAGTCCAACGAACTCCCAAGCGGACGAAGGAGACATGGAGACCCTTGGACCACATGCTCCGAAATCTCATCGAAGTGTGCGCAACATGTGGAACCCACATTTTCCTGTTCCGTTTTTCTTTCTTTTTTGGGGGTAGGCTGAAATTGGATTGGTTTGGGTCGGGCGTGTCCCATGTCTGGGTGGGCATGAGCTCCAAAGGTTGGGAGTTCTCGTCGTTGCTCGGGAGTTCTTGCTTCCAAGTGGGCTCATCCGCTCTGTGGCGGCACTCAACCCAAACCTGGCTGGCAAGCTGCGGATTGGAGCGTGTGATGATGCGAAACGTGCTACTAGTGGTGAGAATCACTGTGAGCACACACCCAAATCTAGCAACCAGCCTATCGCTCTCAGCTTGGAGGCCATCGCTCTTAGGTTGGTTGGAGGCCATCGCTCTTAGGTTGGAGGCCATTGCTAGTAGGTTGGAGGCCATCGCTCGAAGGTTGGAGGCCATCGCTAGTAGGTTTGGAGGCCATCGCTA